CCCCTATTTCCCCCCTTTTTTGGGGCTCAGCACCCACAGCCCCTCCCCACATCTCCCTTTGCACCCAGACCTCCTCCACAGCAGCCCCGGCACCTCCTGCCGGGGAAGTCTGGGGGGTTTCCAGCTTTTTGCTCCCAGGCACGAAGTTTTATCAAATAAGACAATGTAGAAAACTCATTTCCCTCAAAAATCGCATCTCTCTCTGACCGCCTGTGCTGTTAGGAGCCAAACTTGGTTGGTTTTAACCCAAAAGAGGCGGTGATGCTGCTCAGCGCTGGGATCTTGGGATGCTGTGGGACCGGAGCATCCAATACCCGGATGAAGATTTTCGGGGGTTCCATTAAACATCCCACAAGACCCCATTTGCCGTATTTTGGGGGAAAAAGGGCCGGAGCGGCGGCAGGAGGGGGAAGGGCGCGCTGTCAGTTATCCCGCAGCTGTGTAAACAGGCTGGGAGCGAGGAGGGCCGGGGGGATCGGCGGGGGCCGCGGCAGGGCCGCGTTCAGGCTTGCCGAGCCCGGAGGCTTTGCAAAGCCCTGGGAATTTGGGCTGGAAAAAGGGGATGGCACGGGGATGGGCAATTTGGGGTTGCCGTCCCCCACCACCTGCCCCAGGCGGCTCCCGGGGACGGAGGTGGCGTGGGAGGGATGGACATCGGGGATGCGCCAGCGGGATGCTTCCCCGGATGCTTTCCAGCTCGCCTGTGGGGTTTTTGGGATGGGGACGAAGTGGCCGGGTGCCGGCATCGCGTGGATCTTCTCCACGGCGCCGGTGGTTCCTGCAGGCTCATCTCTGGGCTGGAGCCCGCGCAGGCGAAGGGAAAAGCCAGCGCGGAGGCTTTCCGCCCCCGGCGCCTGTGCGCAGCATTTTACCCGGAAAACCGTCAGCTCGGGTCCCAAAGGGACTTTTCTCACCCAAAATGAGAGGAGCCTGCTGTGACCCTGTGCTGTCTCAGTGGGACACGCAACATCGGGACAAATGACGTTGGGATGTGCGACGCCGGGATGCGCAACATCAGGAGGACAGGCAACGCTGGGATACGCAATCCTGGGACGCACGATGCCGGGACATGCAATCCCGGGACATGCGATGCTGGGATACGCGATGCCATGACATGAGATGCCAGGACATGCAATCCCGGGACACGCAATGCCAGGATCTGCAGTCCTGGGACATATGATCCATGTGATGCCGAGACACGTGAGACTGGGACATGCGATCCTGGGATTTGAGATGCTGGGACACGCAACACCAAGACACACAACACCGGGACATGCAATCCTGGGACACACAACGCTGGGACATGTAATGCCAGGACACGCAATGCCAATACGCGATGCTGGGACACGTGAAGCCGGGACACATAACGCCAAGATCGGCAGTCCTGGGACACGTGACGCCTGGACATACAACGCCAGGACATGCGATGCTGGGACACGCAACAGTGGGACGCGTAACGCCAGGCCACGCAATGCTGGGACGCACAACACCGGCCCTGCCACCAGCCAGGACTTCTCCAGCGGTGCTTTTCCCCCTTCCCAGGGAAAACGTCTCAGGCGGGATCGAGCCCCGCGCGCGGAAGAGGAGAGGAAATCCGCTCATTAAAGACCCTAATTGGGCATTAGGGGATCCCGCGGCGTTTGCACCTCCTCCCCGAGCGTGGAGGGAAAACGCCGCCGCTGCCACGCGGCACGGCCCCCCCGGCACGCCGGTCCCCGGCACCCCGCCGCCGCCAGCCCTTCCTCCGGCTGCTGGGGCCGTGGGTGGCTGCCGGCGGGGGCTTACCCCACCCCGGGGAGGGGACGGACAGACAGACAGGAGGCTTCATTGTGGTCCTACAGCTCCGGCAGGGAAGGGGTTAACTCCCTGCTTTTAATTGGGGGGTGGCTGGTAACGAGGAACCAGAACTTGCTCTAATCTCTCTGGAATGTGACCGATTTTCAACTATTTTCTCCTTTTTTTTTCTTTTTTTTTTAAATAGCTCCAATCTGCCGCTCGCGCGCGGCTCCCGCACGTGGTGGTACAGTGGGAGCTGTGTCCAGGCTGGGGCCGAGGGGAAGCCGGGGGGGCTTCATTTTTCCACATTACCACTGAACCGTTCGCCAGCTCCCCCCCTCTTTGTATATTTTGAAAGGGTCCCCCCCTTCCTCTCCCCTCCCCGGCCTCCTGAAACGGCTTCAAAATGAGAAGCAGCCTTTTATATACCCGGCCTTTCCCCAGCCGCCGTCCCCCAGCGGCTTCTCCGCTTACAGAATAGACGAGAAAGCCCCCTTTGTGATGGGGGCAGCGGGCAGGGGACGGCGAGGCGGAGCCGAAGGCGCCCGTCGGGGACGCGGGGGGCATCTCCTGCCTCGCCCCGGCACGGCCCCGGGGATGGCGGGGGACCACGCGTGGCGTCGCCTCGGCACGGCGGTAGGGATGGCGGGGCACTGCGTGCATCGTCCGAGTGTGGCTCCGGGGATGCTCAGGGCATCCAGCGTGTCACCACGGGCACGATCATGGGGACGTCGGGATATCTCGTGTGCTGTCCCAGCGCAGCCATGGATGCCCAGGGCACCTCGTGTCTTGGATGGGTACAGCTGCGGGGAGGCTGGGATGTCCCGTGTGTCACCCTGCCGTGGCTGCAGGGATGCTCCGGGCACCGCGTGCATCGCCCTGGGGATGTCGGGACATCTCGTGCGTCACCCAGGCACACACGATGCTCGGGGCATCCCGTGACGGTCATAGGGATGTCAGGACATCTCACGCATCACCCAAGCACAGCCATGGGGATGCTCAGGGCATCTTGTGTATCACCCCAGGCGTGGTCGTGGGGACGTCGGGACATCTCGTGTGTCACCCCAGCACAGCCACGGGGACACTTAGGGCACGTTGGCTGGGCACAGCCATGGGGATGTTGGGGCTTCCCGTGCGTCACCCTGGTGCGGCTGCAGGGATGCTCCAGGCACCTTGTGCCTCGCCCTGGGCGTGGACATAGGGATGTCGGGACATCTTGTGCATCACCCAGGTACAGCCCTGGGGGTGCCCAGGGCATCCTGTGTGTTGCCCTGTGTACCATCGTGGAGATGTTGGGATACCTCGCACGTCGCCCTGTGTACCATCGTGGAGATGTTGGGATACCTCGCGCGTCGCCCTGTGTACCATCGTGGAGACGTTGGGGTATCTCGCGCGGTGCCCCAGTGCAGCCATGGGGATATCGGGGCATCCCCTGCATGGCGCTGGCAGGGCCGCAGGGATGTTGGGGCACCCGGTACATCGTCCTGGCGTGGCTACGGGGATGCTCAGGGCACCTCACGCATCACCCCGGCGTGGATGTAAGGATGCTCAGGGCACCTTGTGCATCGCCCAGCTATGGCCGCGGGAACGCCGGGGCGCCTCATGCCTCACCCGGGAGCATC